GGGGGCTCCTGGGGTCTTTGCACGCTTGTCATTTCGTCTTTGAGCAAGCCCAGGAGGGAGCTGTGACATCACTTCCTCCTCAGGTGAGAGAACGGAGATTCCGAGGAACATGAGACAGTCCCAAGGTCCCAGGCAAGCTGGTGGCAGAACGAATGCGTTCGAATCCGGACCCCAGATTGGGTGCCCAGAACTGGGACAGCGGCGCCAGCCTCCGCCTCCTGGGAGCCGCCGGGAGGGGTATTATACCGCTTCCAACGGGAAGGAGGAGATGGAGGTCCAGAGCCGCAGCTGTGAGTGGCAGAGGCAGAATGTGAGCCAGTGGTCAGGGCGTGGCTCCGAGGTGGGGCCGTCAATACGGGCTGTGCCGGAGCCTGACCAGCGGTGGGAGGGACCTGGGGCCCCTGATGGGTGTGGCTTTTTCAACCAGGGCTCTGGGCCTCCGGAAAGGCCCGGGACGAGGCCCATGTCCATCGCTGGGTTGAAATTGACCTGCCTTGGGCTGTGCTGGGATCCAGACACACCTGGGGTGGGAGGCAGAGACCTTGAAGGGTGTTAAGGGAGCAGAGGTAAGAATGCCAAGACAGGCTTCCCCCTTCCAGCCCCAGCCCAGGCTACCTCTTCCAGGGAGCCCCTGGCCCCAGCCCTTGCTGACTGACTCCCACCTCCCCTGAAATCCTCCGGCCTCCCCGGCCAGGGTGGTGGTTGGGGCCTGACACAGCCCTGGCACGCTGTCGGAGCCCAGTATCTGCTGATAATAGCCATTCCTGCATGCTTCTCTGAGCCAGGCGCCGTGGAGGACCCAAGGGGGTGAGATAGTCTAAGATCCTCTATCAGTGAGGCACAAGAGGTCCTCCGTGGCCCAGGCCTTGCCCATGACTCCAGCCCCTGCCCTCTACACGCGCTGCTCACACCCCTCCCTGAACGCCCCCCTACCCATCATATTTTGATGATCACAGAAATGTTGGGTGCCCTGGCTGATTTAGCTCAGTGGTGCCCTGGCTGGTTTAGAGTGTCCGCCATTGGACTGGTGTCCTGGGTTCGATTCTGGTCAAGGGCACATACCTCGGTTGTAGGCGATCCCCAGCCCCAGTCAGGGCGAGTGCAGGAGGCAATCGATCGGTGTGTCTCTCACATCGATGTTTCTCTCTCTCTCTGTCTCTCCCCGTCTCTTCTACTCTTCCTAAAAAATATCCTCGGGTGAGGATTAACTACAACAAAAAAAGAAGAAATGTTGGCGACGACAAAAAGTTCCCGTAAGGTTAAAAATCACTTATAATCTCATCCTCAGGGTCGCCACTTGGCCCGACACACTTCCATCTTCATTCCTCCTATTTCTCAAAGCACAGACCGCCTCAGGCCACCCCAGCAGCATGACGTGGCAGCTGGAAGCTCCTGGGCGCGCCAGAACCTTTACAACCCACCCCGCCGGCATTTAGCTAGTTTCTGTCTCAGGGCTGTTAGAAATGGCTGCAGTCACTGCCTTGGGCCACCTTCCTGGGAGGTGAACTTCTTGGCCAGGGGACATCATGCCACGCTCTCCTGACCGCTGAGCCTCTGCACAGGCTGGTCCCTCTGCTGGGCTGCCCCTCTCCCTCTTATCCCCACAGTGACACCTTCCTCCTCGGAAGTGCCCCTGCTGTCTTGCCCCCTGCCCCCAGCTGCCCGCTTCCGACCTCCTGCCTCTGAGGCAGACGGCCTGCCTTCTCCTCCTCCTCTCTCGGCTGGCGGCACGTAGTGGGCGCCTGGGAAGTGCTTCCCAGCCGAGAGCCGCCCTGGCTGCTTCAGCAGTGTGGGATCGCACCGTGTTTCTATTAGTCTCCATGAACAAGTGCCACTGTGTTATTAAATTTTTCCAAAAGCAGAATGTCTGCTGTGTGTGCCAGACTGGTTGCTCTTTTAGGAGTGGGTCTCCCCTGCCCACCCCGTATTCCTCGTTCCCTGCCTTTCAGAGCCCATTCCCTGGGCACCCACTGAGCTCCAGGCCCCGTGGGATGCAGCGCTGGGGTCCGAGGGAGCCCGGCCCCCAAGCAGCAGCCTGGACCAGGGCAGGTGCTGGTCAAGCTCAGAGCTCATCGTCTAGGACTGGGTGGTGCGGGTAAGGGCAGGGCCCTTTGGTAGGGAGCACCGTTCCAAAGGCAATGCTGAGTGCCGGGCAATGCTGAGTAGGTGCTCAATAAATACAAGTTCCAGAAAAGTAGGAGATGGTGTTCTGGGAGCTAAGGAGAGGGCCAGTGGGATTGGAGGTGGCGAGAAAGCTGGCCAAGGGGGGCAAGTGTCACAAGAACTTGGCTCTTACCCCAGGGACCAGGGCCACACATTTTCCGATACCCCGAACCACATGTCCTCGGGGTTCCTGAGGCGTGGCCAGCTGTGGCTTTGTCCTGGGCCGGCAGCAGGTGCAGTCAGTGGGGCTGTTAAGTCCAAGACCTGTCTCCCGAACAAGCAACTCTGTGCTTGGGGTGCTTGCAGTCCCCGGGGGAGAGAGATGCTCCCTGCTGAGGTTGGGACACTCATGGGGTCCAGAGAGTGGGGGAGCCCTGCTGGGAGGAGCCCAGAGGTCCTGTGAGCTAAGGGGGGTTTAAGTTGCTGGGTCTCCTTCTTCATCCGCTCATTCATTCATTCATTCCTTCACTCATTTACTCACTCACTCACTCAATAGACACCAGGCATCTTGCTCACCTGTCCTCCGGAGCTTGTGGCCTGAGTGTGACATCCAAGGACCCGTGTGACCAGCCTTGTGCTCCAGTGCCTCTGGGGTCCCAGCTGCCCGGGCACTCCTCCTGGGCACCTGTTGTGCCTACGTCAGGAATGCCCGTCAGGCTCCCCTCCCTGCCCACGTCCTGCCCTCTCCTCTGGGCTTGTCTTCCAGGAGCCCCGGCCTCTCCCCGCGGCGGGCGCCTCTCCCGTTCCCACTCCACGCTGGCCTCAGGCCGCTCTGACCTGTCTCCCCTTTGTCCTTGCACTGGCATGGCTGGGTGGCAGGGGCTGTATCTGGGTGTCCCCTGCATCCCTGGCCACCCAGCACAGGCCAGGCACACATGGTCCCGGGATGGTAGAGGTGCCCAGTAGATGTGGCAGCCGCCTGAGCAGTGGAGCTGAGCGTGGATTTGGGCCGCTGACCAAAACGTCTCTGCACCAGGCCTGCATGTTCCCCGTGGGGTTTCTTTCCTCAATTCCCAAGCAGCTCCTCCCACCTCCGCTCTGTCTGGCATGGGAATTGCCTGCCCTGGGGCTCTGACCTCACAGGCCGGGCAGACTCCAGCTGGTCAGTGTGACCCCGGGGGGCGGAGGGGATAACCATGGGGGAGCCCTCTGGCCGGTGAGGGCGCTGGGGAACCCGCTTCCCAGGATTGGCCCTGAGGAGACTGAGTGGCAGCTCCGTGTCCGAGAAAAGCAGCGCCCACCACACAGGTGTCCTTCCCACTGGCCCCCGAGCTGGCATGTCCAGCGGGCTTCCTCACTCTGCCCCGGAATCGCCCCAGGACAGGGTGAGACAGGTGAGGCTCAAAGACAAGGACGAGCAGGGGATGCCCTCCCGAGGCCCTTGGCCGGCCCCGGGCTCCCTCTCTGGCCTTGGCACCCCAGCCCAGGCCTCTACCCCCAACTCCACAGCCCTCACCTCGCCCTCGTGAGTCTCCCTCCTCCTGTCAGGGCCACCAGAGCAAACTCAAGAAAATGCAACCGACCAAGGCATGCCCCTGCTAAACACCTCCCATGGCTCCCCACCGATCAAGTGTATCCCTTGAAGCAGGTGCCCCAGGCCATCTTCTTGATACCCCTCCCGACTCCTGCCCCGCCCTCCCTCCACCCCTCTTTCCTCTTCCTCTAGCCCCCTCCCTAACACGCCCAGGTCTTTGCATGGCCTGTTCCCTCTGCCCCTATGACTTCTCCATACCTTCTCTCGCTGGCATGCTGGGGAGCGTCTGCCTCCACCTTCTGTGTCCCTGTCTGCCTCCCACCAGACGGGCTCTCCCCAAGGCAGGCCAGGCCTGAGCAGGGGCACAGAGCGTCCCCTGGGACTGTGTGTGAAGCTGAGATGAACGACAGGAGGGGGAGGCGCAGCGTGCATGTGGGGGGAGGGGGCCCACAGACATCTACTGAGGCACCTTAGAAGGGCTCAGAGGGGCCACAGCCCTTCTCACCTCCGCTCAGTCTGGGTGGCCTGGACCTGTGCCCCGAGACAAGGCCCTGTGGACACCTCTCCCCGCTGGTGGCAGGGGTTAGAGGTCATGGGGCACCTCAAACTCCCCCGGGTGGGACCACCCAGATGGGGGTGTTGCTCTTGCCCTCCCCAATAAGCCAGGGGCCAGGTCCTCAGGTCCCACTGCTTACCTGCCCCAGTGGGGTTGGCGGCCACCGCTGTTCCTGGATGGGGAACTTGGGGTCCCCGGGGTTCAGAGATAGGGGCACAGAGGGGCGCGGGCCTATGCTTCGGGGGAGCTGCGGTGCATGTCTCCCCAAAAGGGGGCGGAGGGGATCTCCTCAGACTCCCGGCAGGAGGGGTCCCGAGCAGGGTGCCCTCCTGGCTCCGGGAGGGGGTAAGGAGGGTGGGCGGGGGGCGGGGGCCGCGGCGCCCCGGAAGGGGCCGCGCACGCCCCAGCACGCGGTGCCCGCCGCGGCCGCGGATCCGGAGGTGAGAGCGCCCCCGCCCCGCTCCCCGCCCACCGCGCGCCGGCCGGGCAGGGGGCGGGCCCGCGTGGCCGGAGCTGCGGGCGCCCCGGCCCTCTCCGCAGCGCGGCCCCGCTCCGCCTCCCGGTCCCGCGGTTCCCGCTCCCTTCCCGGGCGGCGGGATGCGGGCGCCGGGCCTGGGCGGGGGCCGAGGGCCGAGGCCGGGCCTGCCGGGCGGGGACCGGCGAGGACCCCGGCGGGCGCGGGGCGTGGGGCCGAGGGCGACAGCGCGCCCCTCCCGGCGGCGCGGCCCGGGGAGGAGGGCGGGGGCGGGCGGCGGGCGGGGGAGTCGCGGAGGCTCGGAGCGCGCGGCGGGCGGGCGGGCGGGCGAGGGAGGGGGCCGCGGGGAGCCCCCCGCCCCCCGAAGGAGGAGTCTGGCTCCCACTTGCTGCCTCGGACGCGCGGCGAGGCGGCCGCCGGAGCAGCCCCCGCCCCGCTCGCCTCCCCCCCGGAGCCGGGCCCCTGCCTCCCTCCGTGCGCGCTGCTCGCGGCCGCGGCCGCCGAAGAGGAGCCCGGGGCCAGGTAGGGCCGGGCGCGCGGGGCGCGGGGGCGCGCGGGACCCTCTCCGGGCGCGGGGTGATGCCCGCGGCCGGGGGCGGCGCAGGGGCGCCGGCAAAGTTAGTTTGTCCGCCTTTGGCTGCGCCGGTGCCCTGCCCGCCGAGCGGGTGCCGCCAGGGGGGCGCGCGGCCGGGCGCTGGACTCTGCCTGGGGCCGAGGGGTCAGCGAAACTTTCCCCGGCTCGCCAGTCGCTGCCGCTGCCGCTGCCGGCTGAGTCGCTGGCGGCAGGAGGGACTGCGGGTGCAGGTGGTGGGGCTGGTGGTAACAATAGCAGCCCCTGGCCTTGGAGGGCCTACTGTGCGCAGCGAGGCCCCGCGGGTCCTTGGGGGCAGGGGAGGGGGCACTGAGCCTGGTCTGGTGGTCACTTTCGCTAGCTGTTGCCGGACACTCCCTCCCTTCCTCTCTCCACCCGTCTGTCTGTCTGTCTATTCACCCATCCATCCCTCCGTCCATCCATCCAGCCACTCATTCCACGGATTTATTGCTGTCTGCTGTGTGCCTGGCCCAGGGGACCAGCAGCGAACCAGCAGGTCCCAGCCTCACAGGCAGTAGCTCACCGGCTGCCCTGTGAGAGCAGTTCTGTTTATTCTGGGACTTGTTACAGGGAGGGAATTCATGCACAGCCTCCCTCTCCCTGCTGAGGCCGAGCTGAGGTGGCCAGGCCTCGCTGCTCGGGGTCCTACCCCCCTCCTCGGTCCCCTCCCCTCCCCTCCCCTCCCACTCTGCTGGGTGGCCTGAGAGGGGACCCCGAGGCCCCCGCCTGGAACTGGACCCCCGCCTGCCCAGCTGACCTCTCGGGGGTGTCCCCCTCAGTGATGTCCCCCTCAGTGCTGGTCAGACCCTCTCCGGTGCCCCTCCGGGAGCGTGGCTGCCTCCTCCTCCATTTCTAAGGCGTCTATTGAACGGCCCAGAGGAGAGCTTGCTAAGTGGCGAACAATTATGAAATTAAACTGGGAACAAAAGTGGGCCGGCTGGTGGATGGCCGAGCCGGCTCGGCAGGATTGCATGGTGATGGGAGACGCGTTCGCACGGCTCAGCCACGCCGGGGGCTCAGGCAGACGTGGCCACTGCCAGCACCCCGATTGCTCTTTGCACACAAAAAAAGAAAATGACAGCAACTTTCTGACCGAAGAACTTGCCACGTGGCTAAAATGCGTTGGGGGATGTCCGAGAGGCCGTCGTCTGACGGCCACCTCCAGGTCGGAAGCCAGGCCTTGGTCCACGGAGCCCACCCGCTAGGAGACCATCCGGGCAGGGTGGTGGTTTGGCTGGGCCGAGGCAGGCTCTGGCGGCGGAGCCAGCCGCTGGTGATCAGAGAGGCATTCTGGGGCCCGGCCGGAGTTCAGGGGACCCGGAGCGAGCCCCCAGAATAAGCTGCTCCATGACGCCCGGCTCCCTGCAGCCGGCTCTCCGAGAGCAGCCCCACAGCACCTGTAAAAGCTCTTCTCAGGATGCGTTTCTGTGACATGGTGCACCGGCCTGAGCGCTCACTGGCGGAGGACAGTCGCTGGCTGATGGCGAGTCAGAGGCGACGAGGCCGTCACAGAGGGTTCATTGTGTTTGACGTCTTCGGGGTGGGGCTGCTTTCCTGCTTATGCCTCGGCCCCAGGAATTTCGGGAGACCCAGATGGAACCAGACCCCTGTCAGGTCAGTGGAGCAGGTTCCGAGTCTCACCCACACGTGGGACGCCGGACCTCACGTGCCCTGGCCAGTGCCGGTGGGCTGGGACTGTGGACATAGAGACCAGATCTAAGTTTAGGTAAAAGACAGGGTTTGGGGGGGTCTTTCCACACCAGCCCCCATGTCAGGAATGCCTAGACGACATAGAGAATAACAATCCAAGAAGAGCCGGCTTGTAAAATAGATCCCAGTCCACCCGTGAAACTATTCAATCTTCATCCGACGAAAGTACCTGAAGTTCACGGCATTTCCCTTGGCCTGGCTGCGTTCCCCGGCAGGCGGCAGGGGACACTCACTCGGGACACCCCTCTGCCCCCATCGGAGGAGCGCAGGCCATGGCGGGGTTGCACGGAAGGGTAGCACTCAGGAGAAAAAGCAGCCTTCGGGGTGTGGGTTCCGGACTCCGAGAAAAAAGGAAACGCTCCCCGAAGTGCAGGCGTCTTTTAATCTATGAAATGATTTCACGTTTGCAGCCTCAGGCCTGCCCACGGCTGGTGACTCGCAGGGGCAGGGGACCTTAGCCGGCCAGGCAAAGGCTTTTCACAAGTCAGCATCATGCCCAGAAAAACATGCAATTGGCGGAGGTTAGTCCATGCCTCTCAAGTTGTGGCGAGCTGCAGCGAAGGGTGGGATTTCTGCCTTATCCCCGAATTGTCTGTCAACATCTTTAATGTGACAACGTGACAGGTCTCTCCCACCGTCCCTCCCTCCCTGGCAGCAGAAAAAGGGTCCTTTCAAGCCCCCCCCCCTTTCCATTCTTCTCCCCGAGATCTCTGTTCGGCAGTTGGTACCTTTGTCTGCCTGCACCTCAGAGTGAGGGACCCCAGGGAAGGGGCGCCCCAGGCGCGGGGGCCGAGGACTAGGTTCTGGGCCTGCTCTCTGCCCGCAGGTCCCCGCTCCGGCATCTCGGAGGAGGGGCAGCTGCTGGCGGGGTCTTCCTTCTGGCCGAGGCCCTTGCCCCCAGGATCAGACGAGAGAACGCCTGGGAGGGGGCAGGGTGAAGGGGGAGCTTCACGCAGCAGCCACCTTCCCGTGTTTGGATGACGCTGGCTGACCCTGAGTGCCGTGCTCTGCAGCCATGGTTCCGGGGGCCGAGGGGGGTGGATGTCCCCTCCAAGGAGGCGCCCCCTCAGCTGGCGTTCTCCCCAGACTGCCACCGAGATGTTTGACTTGGGGCTGAAGAAGGGGGGAAAAAAAAGGAAAGAAAAGGAAGAAGCAAAAGTAACCCCAAGGGAAAGAGTAAGAGAGGCCCGGGGGGGGGGGGGGGGGGTTGGAGCGAAGGTATAAGTAGTTTCTCCGTTACCTTGATTCATGGTGGCTCTCCCGGTGACCTGGCCGTTCTGCTGCCAAAACAGTTTACCTTATTTTGACTTTTTCCCCCCAAAGGAGACAAGACTTAGTTATGCTTTATTCCATTTAAAGCATCTCTAGCCAATCTCATGAAGGAAGAAAAAAAATCTTCAATTGAGATTCTGTGTTTTAATTTGAACTCAGACAGTGACTGGCAAGCTCTTTGGTGTCCTCACGCCTCCCTGTGAACAGCTCTTTGGGGCTTTCTTGGACGCGGCCGTGGTCGTGGTCGTGGCCAGCTTGATGGCAGAGCCTGGTCATCCGTCACAGGTGGGAGCAGCTCCCGGGGAGGGGGTCTCCCCTCTGGCGATGGCGCGGAGTTCAGAGCCGAGGACGGAGGCGGCCCGTCTCCCACCCCAGCCCGCACCCGGAAGGCCGTGTCTGCCGGTGTCTCCACATCTCCATCCGCTTTCCGAGGAGCACGGAGGCTCAGCCTGGATGCGCATGAAAAGACTTTGGGTGGCGTCGCCCGTGCTAATTTCATCCCTTTAAGAAGAAAATGATGCCTGCTTTCCATTTCCAACACACCCATCCGTTCTCCTTCATTTCATTCTTTTGCATTTTCCAACAGTACCGAGGCCTGCGAGGCTGCAGAATACATCACACTGGCTACCTGAGCAGCGGGAGCCCCGCCTGAGCCCTGCCTTCCCCCTTCACGACGAAAATGCACGGCAGCGTTGGGGGCCCGGGCAGCCAGTCCCTGCTCCACCCGGGGCTCCCCGCCCAAAGCCGGTGGCTGGGGGATGGAAAATGGAGTTTTGCTTTTATAACTTTGTCACTCAGATGCATTTGTTAATTGATCATACTTTGGAGGTTTAATCTTTAATTGCAAATTCCCACACGACCACAAAAAACACACTTAAATTGATCATAAAAATGGCAGAACCCCAGCCTGAGACTTCAGTGTAGAATTACCGTAGCGCCGATTTGATTATGCTTCGGTGACATCTGTTTAATAGATTTCCGTGGGAACTGTAAATCCACGTTCACTTGCTTTGCAAATTGTATTTGAATGTCGAGCAGCCAAGACTCCCTTGCTCCCCCCCCCCACCATGTGTGCCCCAGGCCCCCATTCACGGTGGGGCGCTTGACGTGTTTGGGGAGCGGGGAGGCGGAGGCCGACTCTTACACACTCACCTCATGTCCTTTTGTGTGTGGGCCCGTCTGAAGCGGATCCCAGCAGCTTCCCGTTCGGACTTCACAGATACGTGAATCTCCAAGTGCTTTATTTCAAAAACTGGGACATAGCACTTTGCAGAAGAAAAATCAGTCCATCCACTATTATTTATGTGATTGCTGATCTGCTGGGTGGCTAGAGAAGGCACCCAGAATTATAATAATTTATGGAGCAGAGCGCTGCTTTACAAACATATGTCTCAGCCCCGGCTCTCGGGTTTCTTCGCGTCTCCGGCCTCGCTCGGGGCTGTGGGCCCGGAGCGCATCCGGAATGTGAAGGCCGGCCGGCCGGGAGAAGGGACCACGGTCATGTGTCGGACGGCAGGCATAAGTGAGCAGCTATTTGTGGCAGACAGGACAGGATCCAGTAAGTAGCGCTCTCCATCATTCTGAGATAAACGCGCATAATTGGAAAATGAAGCGGCAGCAACTGGGGGGGGGGGGGGGCGTGGGGTGGGCGCGAGGAATTAGAAAGTGTAATTTAAAATCATGTAGTCATCATTCAAAAGGGGCCCAACTAAAAGGTTTTTAAGTGGTAAGTGCTTTAAAGCCTCTCATGGTTGATCCTTTCTCAAGGAATATTGTCCAATTTTCTCAGTATTTCTGGATCCCTTCATCGCCAAGCTCATGGGCTCCTTGGACTTGGCCGCCAAGCCCGAATGCCGGCGGGTTTTCCCCGGGGACACCCCCAGTCCGCGTGGGCGGGCGAGGCTTGGGGACATGCAGGGCTTGGCTCTGACCCCCCCCCCCCCCCACT